CATAAATTTCCTGCACAAATTGACCGTAGCATATTTAGATCCACTGAGTAAATATTTCCTTATCACTTAATGTTAAAAAGTCATAAATTTTGGAAAGTATCTTGGGTTGCATGATCTGTAGCATCTTATTTGAATATCTTACTTATATGATCGTTACATATTCAAACTTGTTAAAGAGAACTAATCATTGATTATATAAATATGTTGTTGCTACATAATGTCCGTTGGTTGCTTATATTAGGAGAATAAAATATTCTCCTTATATGTGATACGTAATATTCTCCATATATGTTTTGTTATTGAGTGATTTACTCATAATATACTTCCATATATATGGTTGACCGAGGATCACCATAATTGAGAGCCGGAAGATCTTTTGAATAAAAGGAAAGGAGAGGCTACGGATGCTATATATATTGGACTGAAGACCAGACGAAAGGGGTGTGCTTGACCGAGCTTCTATTGAGAAATATACACGAGAATATTCACTAAGTCCAAGGCACCTGAACCTGCTCACGGAGTTCCAGACAGAGTTTCTTTTTCCCTTCTTCATATTGTAATTGGATTTTTGAGGATTGGCTAAGTGTAGCATCCTCGGGTTGGTTAGTGTGTTGTGAGAGCTTTGTTGTAAAGCTGAGAGGCTCTTTACCCACAAGGTAGAGATGCATAACTCTTCCTAGAGAGGATAGAGTTGGGGTGGCTCAAGGGTAGACTAGGAGAGTTTCCCTTGTAATCATTCAAAGGCTTTTTAGTGGAGTTGTTCAAATTCCTCCGAGGGAGGTCGAGGTTTTTTAATCCCTTTGAGCCAAGGGATTTTTCCTCGTTAAATCCTTGTGCACTCTACTATTTCGTAATTCCCTGGACCCCACACTAGAACTGTGCGAAAAACTGTCACGGTTCCACACACACACAATTCACCCCCCCTCTTGTGTTGCTAACCGTTTCATCACTCTCTGAACTGGCCCGTTCGTGTAGCGCCTCCTCGTTCGAACGACTCTGCAGCGGAAGGAATCTGCGCACGACCAACGGCCAACGGCCGACAACGACCACCACTCACGACCTTACACCGCCGCTCTGGAGCTGTGCTGAGACGACCGACCTGCGGCGAAGAGGGACCTCGAGCGACTGACCTGCGGCGAAGAATATGCGACGAGCGGCTGCGACGGCGAGTTCCGACGACTAGCAGGCTCGTTGTGACGACTACTACAATCTGTGACGGTGCGAGTTTAGACATCGTCCAGCAGCCTCGTCAACTCCTAGCCGCTGCTCTGCCATCGTTGGGGACTCCGACTACGTGCCGGCCGACTCTTAAACTAGGTCAGCAACATAATCTTTAATCCTCTGCTGTTAATAAACTAATTTATTTTTATTTTATGGTTAAATATTCTGATTAATATTCTATTGTTAATAAATTCAATTTACTTTTGTTTTATGGTTAAATAATCTGATTAATATTATGTTGTTAATAAATATTCTGCTGCTAATAAATTCAATTTATTTTTGTTCAATTTATCTTTAATATTCTGATTTTTCAGTTTATTTGGTAATTTAAAAGATTTTGTTTGGCTTAGGAGCGTAAAATAAGCACTTGACTGACTACCCGATTTTTTTATCATTGATAATAATCTATTTTCTTGTATTTTGTATCATGTCAAATTCTACCTATTTTATCATCTATAATTACTTTAAACTTTTACCTTACTGGAATTTGTGGACATATTAAGCCGGATTCACATGAAAACTGAATGTGAATGCAATGGTGGATGAGAATAACATTTTCTTAATTAGGTATAGTTTTTCCCACTCGGTCGTATTAATTTTGCTCTACGCGTGAGAATAGACTTTTTTTCACTATGTCTACATTATATGTTCTCAGATGGATCGTAGTTGGATGTATGGTCTTCGGAACACCTCTGAATTTTTCACGGGTGTTAATGGGTTTATAAAACATGCTCTTGCACACCAAAAACAACAAGGCCATATAGGGATTTTATGTCCTTGTTCGAGGTGTCGTAATTTAAAAAAGGAAAATGATGCCAATGTTGTTCTTCAACACTTGCTTCAGAAAGGCTTTAGAGAAAATTATAGAATATGGTCGTTGCATGGTGAAACTTGTGTAGATGATGAAGTTGTTGCACGACCTACATCTAGTAATTTAAAGCGCAAAGTGTCCGACATTGCCAACGCCTCAAATGATCAAAATGACACTACTAATGATGGAAATGAATACAATGTTGATCTAATTGATGATCTTTTAAAAGATGTGCATGAAAGTTTTGAGCATCAACCAAATTCATACGAAAGTATGGTTGATGACGCCAGAATACCTTTGTATTCTACTTCAAGCTTCACCAAGTTGTCTGCGGTGTTGAAGTTGTTCCATTTGAAATCTAAATATGGATGGAGTAATGTGAGTTTCACAGAGTTGTTGACATTACTTCAAGAGATGTTGCCTGAGGGGAACACACTTCCCGATACAACATATAAGGCTAGAAGGATATTGTGTCCTATGGGAACCGAGTGGAAGAAAATTCATGCATGTCCCAATGATTGTGTTCTCTACCAAAATGAGCATGAAAACCTTGATGAATGTCCAACGTGTCACCTTTCACGTTATAAAAGGAAAAGGAGTACAAATGCTGCTCATGAAGAAGCTGATTCCAAAATTCCTTCCAAAGTTCTGTGGTATCTTCCAATTATTCCTAGATTCAAAAGGTTATTCATGAATGAAAAGGATTCCAAACATCTAATTTGGCATGCTCAGGGTAGGAAGAAGGATGAGTACTTGCGTCATGTATCTGATTCACCGCAATGGAGACAAATTGACCTTAAATATCCGGAATTTGGTAGAGAGGACAGAAATTTGAGACTTGGTCTGTGCACAGATGGTATGAACCCATATGGTACGCTTATCAGTCAGCACAGCACCTGGCCAGTTTTATTGGTTATCTATAATTTGCCATCGTGGTTGTGCATGAAACGCAAGTACATCATGTTGTCTCTGCTTATCTCGGGACCTCAACAACCGGGTAATGACATTGATGTGTACCTTGCACCGCTTATTGATGATTTGAAAGTTTTGTGGGCTGAAGGTGTTAAAACATATGACAAGCACACAAGATCTTATTTCCAAATGCATGATATGTTGTATTGCACCATCAATGACTTTCCAGCGTACGGTAATCTTTCAGGTTACACGGTTAAAGGTGCAAAAGCATGTCCGATATGTGAAGATAACACTTGTGATTTGCGCTTACCTCATTGCAAGAAGAATGTTTATATGAGTCACCGTAGGTTTCTTCCACGCACTCATCGTTATCGTGCATTGAAGAAGGCATTTAATGGAAAAACTGAACATGAAGTGCCCCGTCCACCATTAAGTGGTCATGATGTGTATGATAGGGTGAAAGATTTAGACACGGTCTTTGGAAAGCCTTATAAGCGTAACAAACAGAGCCTTTGGAAGAAGAAATCCATCTTCTGGGAGCTTCCTTATTGGAAAGACTTATCTGTAAGGCATTGTCTTGATCTCATGCACATTGAAAAAAACGTGTGTGATAGCATTATCTCGACTATTTTGAACATTCCTGGTAAGTCAAAGGACAACATAAATATCCGAAAAGACATGGTTGAACATCTCAACATTAGAAAAGAGTTGGCACCACAACCACGACTTAATGGTTTCTATCTTCCACCAGGCAGCTACACATTATCAAAAGTTGAGAAAAGAAGATTCTGTGAGAGTTTACATGGTATGAAGGTGCCATCAGGGTATTCATCGAATATTAGAAATCTTGTATCCTTGCAAGATATGAAGTTAGTTGGATGATGATGTTAGGTGGTTGGCATATGGTCCTAAAAGACCGATTGATACATATGAAGCTTATGATATAAATGGCTACACTTTTTATACTATCAGACAAGATGAGAAGTCAGTTTTGCAGAATAGTGGAGTTTCAGTTGTAGCATCTTCTACTGAGTATGCTAATGCGAATGATCAGCATCCTATACACGCTCAATTGTCTTACTATGGAAAGATTGAAGACATATGGGAGCTGAATTACACCAGTAGAACTTTTCCAATTTTCAAATGTGAATGGGTCGATATTCGTCGAGAGGTGCAACGTGATCACATGGGACTCACGTTAGTTGATTTTACTCGATCAGGTCATCGTGATGATCCATTCATACTTGCATCACAGGCAGAACAAGTATTTTATATAGAAGATCCTTCAAATAAAAGGTGGTCTGTTGTTTTACCTGGCAAGAGAAAAATCATATGTGATAGTGAGGAGGGAGAAGGTGACCACTTTGAGGAATTGCCTTCACTGTCCATCGGAATGAACGAAAGGAATATGACTTATGATTACAATGAGGATGATCTTCCATTCATTGCACATCATAATGACGGCATAGAAGTTATTACTGAAAAGTCAAAGTGACAAAATGGTACATTAGTTTTACATTATTTTTATACAATTAAATTTCATTTTAATATTATTTAAAAAAAATCATAATATGTGCTAATTATTGTGAATATGAATTGCAGGTAAACACTATGAGCGACGATGATGGAGATGATCATGACCATACACCTAATAGTCATGTCAAGGGTGGTGGCGGTAGTGGTCGCAGAGATAGTGAGGGGAAGAAAATAATTGAATTCGCCCAGAATGATACAATAATTGGTGAGTGGGCAGAGGAGTTTAAAACATATTTAGGGAAGCTGGTGCGTGGTCGGGTGAAAGCCAATATTAATAGCTGGCATGAGGTTTCAGGTCCAACAAAAGCTCAATTAATCAAAGAGATACGGGTATACATAAAATTCTTAATGATTAATGTATCATATATACCAACTAACACTTTATATTGTATATGCTACCTAACACTTTATATTTAATTCATTATGTAGCATGACTATGTTCTGGAAGATAACATGGTTAAAACAGTATTGAAAAAGTTGTCCAAAATGCACCGAGATTGGAGAAATCGGTTAAGAACAGGTTACCTTTCTAAGACACGACCGGTTGGAAAGGATTGTGTTGATCCTTTGGAGAAGTACAAAGACCAACTCACAAAAGAAGTGTGGGAAGATTTTGTGGCCAAGAGTACGACTCCAGAGTTTATGGTATGATTATTTATATTAAAATGATACTACGCTTATTAGCATTTTAGTGGTCATTAAATTTTTATAAATAGTTAATGTTGGACCAACATATTGAGCAGGCTTTGAGTGAGAAGAACAAACAAGCAGCGCTACAGAACATTTTTCCTCATCATATGGGTCGTTCAGGATATGTGCTTTCCATGGCGAAATGGAAAGAGCAAGGCTTATTAGACCGGTTTCTTCCGACATCGGAGGTAGATTCAACGAAGTCTAGCACAACCACAACTGAAGAAATTCCAAGACATGTAAGCTGGTTTTGTGCTAGGTCGGGATTGACATCTGATGGACATTTAGCTTTTCCCGGTAATACTGATGGCATGAAAGAGAAAAAAAACAAATTGGTAAGTTAAACGTTTCTTATATCTTTTATAAATTCGCTTAAATTAAAGCTAATGCACTTTAAATAAACTATATAATAGGACAAAATTCAAGATGACATAGCTGCAGGGACATGGAAGCCAATTGAACGACATGATATTTTGACTGAGGTTGTAGGGAAACCTGACTACCTTGGCTGTGCACGTGGCATTGGTGATGGTATGGGTTATACTCGAGTGTTTGCAGCAGAGCGTAGAGGTGGACGGCGTGATAAAGTGGGTAATTTGAGTGAGGATGATTTGAAAAAGTTGCAAGAGAGATGGTTGAAAGATATGCATCACTACTTTGTTCCTAGAGGTGAACAACCTACCATGAGATCAACGCAAGCTTCTGAGTCAGGCCAAGTTGATACAATGAACTCCACGGCTGATATTCCACATAAATTTACTATGTGAATGAGAAATTAATTTTGGGACGGAGGGAGTATATGATATTAAGTCTTTTATGCAATGTAAATCTTTAATTGCATGTGGAAATTCATGCAGGATGGTGCAAATTGTAGGCTGGCTGTTGAGTCACAAACTGTTAATGGTGATATGAGCTTGGATTATGTGGCCGTAGCTGTAGCTTACAACACACCAGTTGGTGCTTTGATTCATAATGTATCGATGTCTGATAAAACAATTAAAGTGAACATATCAATGCCATGTCCAGGTTGTGATCAGTGTCCCTTGTTGTTTCCAAATGAATCGGCTGATATGTATGTTATAGCGGATGGTGTGGGTTCCTTTGTTCAGTGGCCAGCTCGGTTGGTGATTTTTGAGGGGGAGGTAGCTAAATAGTAGTAACCTTATACTATCTTATTAAGTGTAATTTATGTATATATTTATATATGTGTATCGTGTTTGTTGTTGACTTTTTTTAGGAACCACAATTTCAACACAAAAAAAAGAGATGAAGAAGAAGCAAACCCCATTTGTTGAGAGAGATCCTCCAAAAGTAACGGTTGCACCTTCTATATGCCCGTTAGTCAGTGAGAGCATACTTGATACTCTTACAGATGATGTTTTGGAGTTGCACGAGGCATTGCAGTGGTTTGAACTTGAAAATTGTAAGTTCTCTGTCCATCTTTCTACAGATGTGTTCTGTTTTCAGGAAGATCGTCCGTTTGGGGCTACAATTGATCGTGATGAGTTGTCTTGGTTTCTTGAGGGGGACTCACTTGAGATTTGTATCATTCAGACTTTCATGGTGTAAGTATTCAATATACATTACTTTTAAATTAAGTAAATGTCTTTAGGTGCTCGAAGTGTGATAGTATTTATGTATGTGCAGTTGTTTAAAAGAAAAGCTAGTTGAGCTTGGCCGTGACGACATTGGCTTTTTGTGCCCTCACCTGTGCTCTTTTGAACATTATAAATTGGACAAAAAGGGCACAATGACTTACTTGAAACATGCTTTGATAAAGTCCTTTGAAAAGTCATTCATTTTCCTTCCATACCATGAAGGGTAAAACATATACAATATATTTCCATTGAAATAATTCCTGTGATACGTTATTTATTTATTGTGTTATTTTATACAATATAGGTATCATTGGATTCTACTTGTCATTTGCCCTATGATCGATAAGGGATATATTTTTGATTCCATTTCGAGTTCTAGCATTAGTATTCAAAGAGACTTGACAACGTTAGTATTATATATTTGTTTGAATAAACTTAATTTACATATTAATATGTTTTAATATTATGATCGATAAGGGATATATGTTTGTTTGAATTTGTAGAATGTACAGGGTTGCATCTGCACAAAAAGGTAGCGGTAAGCCGATTAAATGGAATAGTGTGAAGGTATGTTACATCCTTTCTATCCTACAATTAATCTTAGGAAAGTAATCTTGAAATGGAATTTTGATTTATTATACGTGTGATGTGAACTATACAGGTTGCACAACAAACCGGAAGTACTGAATGTGGATATTATGTCATGAGATTCATGTGGGAAATAATATCATACTCTGAAAATCATGATATTGGAAAGGTATGAATAAATTGTGAGTTTGCAAAGTTATTTATTATATATATATTGTATTGTAATTAAAGTGAAATATATTTGTGATCATTTCAATACATTTCAGGTATGGCGTTCAAGAAGTGAACCATACACATTAGCAGAGTTCAATGATATCAGAAATATATGGTCAAGATACTTTCTAGATGTTGTATTGCAAAGTTGAGAAAAAACTATTTAGCCAAACAATTTGTAATGTATGAAATTTGTAATGTATGAATGTTGATTGGATGTTTAATTAAACACGTATTTGATTGTGCATTATGCGTTTTTATAGATGATATGGTACTGTTTTTATCGGATATGTTTGATTGTATGGAGTTAGTTTTATGTATTTTTACGTATTATAAACAGGGCATCTAGCTAAATTTTTAATACAAATATTTTTGATTAAATAAAATTTTAGAGGCGCTTCAACCGGTAAAGCGCCTCTAAAAGTTTTTCAAATTCAGAGGCGCTTTTTGATCAAATAAGCGCCGCACGCGTCACAAAGATTTTCAAATTCAGAGGCGCTTGTGATCAAATAAGCGTCGCACGCGTCACAAAGATTTTCAAATTTAGAGGCGCTTTTTAACAAAGAAGCGCCGCACGCAAAGCGAAAAAAAAAATATTTAAAAAATTGGAGGCGCTTTTTGCAGAGAAGCGCCTCTAAAAACACGTTGCGGCACTATACATTAGAGGCGCCATAAAGCGCCGCACGTGTACAAAAAAAAGCGCCTCGAAATGACGTTTTTGCACCTGTGTTTGTTGACTCAAACATTTCCGGTGTGAGATTTAACAACTTGCCACACTATTTTGTTGAGTTGGTCAAGTTATGATCGTCATTCATATTTGAAGGAATTGAAGAGGTGTTTGGTTGGAGGATTTGGAAAGATGATGGAATGATAATTAAGGTGATGCTCTATATATATAGGAAAGAATGAAAAGTGAAAAATAGTGATTTGATTCTCACTTTTAGAGTATCTCCGGGAGTTTGGAGGAAAGGGGAGGAGAATGTTTTGAAGATCAGTGGTGGGGTAGTAAAAAAACTTTTTTTCTTGTTCAGGAGTTATAAATTTGAAAAGAGATACTACGTATTGTAAATTTAGAGATATGGCAAGTTCAATTGTTCAAATAATTGAATTTATTCATTTTAACTTGAGTTAAAATTATCATTTTATTAGTATATGCAAAAAATCTTCAATTTGGTTGAATCTAAAAATTGAGCATTTGAAAGGTTTAAAAAAATCACAAGAACCTTTTAAAATCATTTTTTCCAATTTTTTAAATTTTGAAACGAATCATATATAAACCCTGTTTATCCTTTTCCTCTCCTCCAAAACATAATGTCCAACGTACCCTTTGAAATAAACCAACCTCACAAAGCAATAGTCAAATTTAATACACACTGTCATTCTCATTTTCATTTACTTATGTTTACCAAGCACATCATACTCGTGATAATGGACGGAGCATGCTGATCAAATTCGAATAACATGAAGATTGTTTTAATAAATGATCACACGAAATGGTTCATAAGTTGAATTATTTAGGTACCACGTCTTACTTATATTTTAATTAATAAAATTTGAAGGCTTAGTCCAAAATTATTGGACCGCGGGTATGCGGTGCCAGCAATCTGCCAGCCTGTCGCTGCAATCGAGTCGCGTGGCGCTTCGCTTGTGCTATAAACGGGGAGGAGCGTGCTACACTATCAGCGATTGCTTTTAGTGTAGCGGTAAGCGCAACGATCCACAAGTGGTATTAGAGCCAATGTCACAGGTTCGACTCCCGCCAAAAGCATGCTGCGCTGTTGAGGCTGACAGGTGCTGGGGGATATTGTTGGGTCGCGGGTATGCGGTGCCAGCAATTTGCCAGCAAGCCGGTGCAATCGAGTCGCGTGGCGCTTCGCTTGTGCTATAAAGGGGGAGGAGCGTGCTACACTATCAGCGATTGCTTTTAGTGTAGCGATAAGCGCAACCATCCACAAAGCCATACATAATATTCGAGCTCAAAAGGAAAATAGTTAGTCCATAAATAAACATCTCACTTTTTTGTGGATCGTCCCTTAAATTCTCATTTTCTTTTTTTGGTAAACAAAACTTTGCAAAATAGTATTTGATCCAAACAATGTCAAACAGTGCAATTTTCTTAAATTATGTGAAACTCAAACGGGCCGAGACCTATTAAATTGGGATGGAGAGAGTAAATATAAAGTATAAAAAATGATAAAAAAGATAAGATAAACAAATATAAGAAAATGATAAAATAATAGGATAAAAAGAAATATATATATATATATATATATATATATATATATATATATATATATATATATATATATATATATATATATATATATACTCCTCCATCTCATAAATACTTTGCCAAAATTGACTTGCATCTAGATTAATAAAATCAAAACTATGATTGAAATTTATGCAAGTGAGAGAGATAAATTTTGTCACATATAATATTAGTTATTTTAATACTAGTGCCCAATCTATTTGAAACCTAATGTATATATGATATATAATTTGATCCTTATATATGGACCTTATCCCATTATTGATATGTTCCCTCCCTCAAAGCAATGACAAGGAAGGTTTGTGAATCGTGTGAAAAATGATTTACTTACAATTCAAGTCTATTAAACATGTTTTATCCGTATATATTACGGAGTAATCCTTCCATCTCATTTCGCATGTCTTACTTTTCTTTTCAGGTTGTTCCAAAATGAATGTCATGTTTTTTTTGCGAAAAATTTGAGGTTCATATCATTCACATTATTCGACCTACTCAAATTTCAAGTTCAGATTTTACTATTCAATCATTTTATTAATAGTCGTGTCAAACGGGACATTCATATATTGTGGGACATAATATAGCAATACAAAATAAAAATGTTAATGCAAAAGCAATCATCATTATTTCAAGGTTTATCTTTGAAAAGTGCAATTTGTTTGCCACATATTTTATACTTCCATGTTTTGAGTTCACGACTCAATTCAAAACAGAGGCATCTATCATCCCCTTCTTTGTGACCGACTATATTATATATTCGACCATGAAGTCAAAATGATATTGAATCAAATGTGGGGTCCTAATTCCCAATGGCATCAAAACAATCATACTCATCATAAAACGTTCAAAAAGAAAAGTCGTATGTATACAAAAAAAAGTAATTGTATACAGTTACTCAATGTGGAGTTCGTTTTAAGAGTTGAGGTTATCGTTTTGAGTATTTCTTAGACTTGATTATGGGACAATTCAATTACAAAAAAAAAGTGAGAGATCCCATGCCTAAGCAAGAGAAAAAGCGGATTAAATATTTAGACAACATTATAAATGTAAGACGTCCGGTTTTAATTAACTATAGTTGACTT